GGAGCACAGGCTCCGGACGCGCAGGCTCAGCGGCCATGGCTCACGGGCCCAGCCGCTCCGCGGCACATGGGATCTTCCCGGACCAGGGCACGAACCCGCGTCCCCTGCATCGGCAGGCGGACTCTCAACCACTGAGCCACCAGGGAAGCCCGATTTTACTATTTTTTAACAAAAGCAGTGAAGACCCTGAAGAAGGACCCAGTGGCAAAGTCTTCCAGGTGCAGTGTTCTCAGTGAGCGACACAGATACAGCTGTCGGGCACCCAGTGTACTCAGTGGGCTTGACTCCAGAGACTGCCTCCATGGTTTGCTGTCTCAGATCAAGCTTCATCTGTGTCCATATCTGTATGTTTTTTAGGGTTGATCCCATGCCTAGTAAAACAAGCTGCATTATGTTGAAACGGCAGCAGTTATTTTTCTACCACTAATCATTGTGCAAAACCAAAACATTTTCTTAATATTTAATGGCTAGTACAACAGCCTAACCCTTCATGCCACAGTCATTCAGTTTAAGCAAAGAGGCTGGTTAATCTCAGTCTGCGTTGTTCAAGTACGTCTTCAGAACACACTAAAATGAACAATATGTGTCACGTGATAAGGAAAGTTCTTCATTTTGAGACTCAGTTCAACTCAAACAGATTCAGATATGTTGTCAGTCATGAAAGTAAGCATCACCCTTTCAAAGAGATTCTAAAACTCACCTAAAGAAAAACTTTGTTAAGAACTTTAAAAAATTGGCTACTGTATTGTTTTTCATTTTATTTTTTCTAATAAAGACTACTCTTTTGTGGAAAAAACTGAGTTTTGATGACAAGCAAAGCAGCTTCTACCTATTAGCGGCAAAACGTTTTAAGATTGCCAAAATAAAAACTTTTGAGTACACCAGTACTCCAGCAAGATGCAGAATGGTGGCCATGTGGTTACATCTCCTCTGTTGAGATTGCAGTGGTGAAAGTGTGAGGTAAGTATCAAGTCCCACAGAAGCAGAGTCCTCCTGAAATAAAACTATCCAGACACTTTTTAAAATCATCTTTATTTTGGTTGCAAAGATACAATTTACTTAGTTACTTAATATTTTATTTGTTCCCATTTGAAGTCTCATAGCTTGCCATGTAAAACATTGCCTTCACTATCAAACTGCTATATAAGAACATTATAAAATACAAACTATAAACTAAGATAATCTTCTTTACAGTATTCAGATTAGTGCATTAAAACAACATTGATTAAAAAAGGCAAGTGAGTTAAGTGGCGAACATCCAATTCCCTTTCTAATGAAGGATGGTACAAAATGGTATGAAGGGAAACAGAATTTTAAGTGTTAGGTGCTCAAAAACGGTAACTGTGGGAAAGTTACTTCCCAAAAGTAATCTTTATTATTCTATAGGACATAAGAGAAGGTAATTAATTTTCCATCATAACAGCTGTGGAAATACACAGGCAAATACAAATTGGGATCTTTAGAATTCTAACACAGTAGGTATTGATCTGTCATACTCTTCCTCCAAATCACATTAAACATTTATAGTGACCACACAATCCCCTGCAAACGAACGTGAAACTTAAACAGAACCTATATAAAAACAATCTATCCTTAGTATTTACTAGCCAATCTACAGCAAATGCTTACTATATACACATCAGGAGTAAGAGATATACTAGGAAGTTATTCACTGATTTCATTCAGAATAAACAAGGGTCTTAAGAGAAAAATAACAGTAAAAGTTAAATAGACAATTTGTGTTGCTGTGAACTAGATAAAAACAAAACTCCAAACACAAACATATATGTTAATTTTTAAAGTTATTGACAATACTTCCTCTGCTGGCCCAAATCAAAATTAAATTTAAGATATGTAATTGAAGTAACACAAATGTGGGTGCATGTTACACTGTGACAGAGAGGTGCACACAGAACACACACACACCTTTGAATTTACTAATTCCAAAAACTAAGTCAACAGGATAAATAAATTATAAACGAAAGGCATACGCAATGTGGGCAAAAAACTAACAGTTACTAGGTCGAAAAGCTTGAAGCTATGCCAGCAGTGATATTTAAAAAAACTTTCAGTATTAGAAAATATCAGATTTAATCCAAAGAAAACTTCCCCCCAAATAAAAATAACAAAGTATGGGAACCATCCTTTAAGCAACAGCTTTAAAATAATAACAATAAAAAAAACCTACCATGATTAAAGGAATCTTCCTACATAATTTACATAATGTAGTGCAATAGTGTGCTCCTTTATAATATTAGCCTTTCACTCCCCATATGATGAGACCGATAATTACAATTCCGATAACAAGGATAAAAATGATGATGCACAGGGTTTTCCTGGATTTGCGCTGCAGATGCGAAAAAACAAAAACACGTTTACAGATGTAGTGGAGCACCTCTATAGCAAGTGAAGATTATTTGGTTCATTTCTAGAGTAAAATCAACAGTAATTTATTGCCCTCATTTTGGGCTATATTTTTTTGCTTTTCAATACATATAGCCCTATGCTTTCAAAAAATATTCTTCTTGAATTAATGGTATAATTCAGGGGGTAATTATTCACCTTCTGTTGGTACTTTTTCTAGATGTGTGGTTGGGCTTTAAAAACGATACAGAGAAATAAAAATGAATAACTTGAGCAACAGAGTTTACCTATGTGTGAAAACAAAAAACAGCTTAAAGGAAGATAAAAAAAAGCAGAAGGTAAATATTGGTCTTTGAAAGCAGAATTTTCCAACTAGAGGAGAACTTAGAACTCACCTCTTTCAATTTCGTCACGAAAGACAGGAAGAAGACTTAATTACCCTAATGGTTTACCCTAATTTATTTATCAGCAAAATTAGCTCCCCAGGCCAAGCTGAGTTAGTACAGGACTGGCACAGATTCATCTGCTTTCACCAGTCCTTTAAGGAAAGAGGGTGGATGGGGAGAGGTTTTGGTTGTACGTGTTCCTGCTGGCCTGATGCCTGGTTCCTAGGCATCAGGCCAGGCCAGAGGCCTTCTAGGAGGCTCCTGGGGTAGAGAGGGCCACATGGTTGGGGATTTAGGGGCTGGCCTCACTCAAAGCTGACGAAAGGTAGAATAAATGAGTCCCTTCTTTAAAGTGGCAAGAAAACTTCCCTTCTCATCCAGACACCTACTCTCTATTCCCTTTATCCAAACCTCATAGAATTTTAACCAGGAGAAACTTTAGACAGTAGTTTGTCTCTTCTTTTTATAATTAGGAAATGGAGAAAGAGAAAGGGAGAATATCTTGCCCCATGGTCATACTGCTAGTGATTATCAAAAAGAGGAGGGTCCCTTTCCACTGATGACTTGTCTACTGATCACACTGTGCTTGGGCTGTGAGCTACATTTTTTTTTTTTTTTAACATCTTTATTGGGGTATAATTGCTTTACAATGGTGAAAAGCATTGTAAAGCATGGTTTCTGCTTTCTAACAAAGTGAATCAGTTATACATATACATATGTTCCCATATCTCTTCCCTCTTGCGTCTCTCTCCCTCCCACCCTCCCTATCCCACCCCTCCAGGCAGTCACAAAGCACGGAGCTGATCTCCCTGTGCTATGCGGCTGCTTCCCACTAGCTATCTACCTTACGTTTGATAGTGTAGTCCATGCCTCTCTTTCGCTTTGTCACAGCTCACCCTTCCCCCTCCCCATATCCTCAAGTCCAGTTCTCTAGTAGGTCTGTGTCTTTATTCCTGTCTTACCCCTAGGTTCTTTGTGACAGTTTTTTTCCCTTAAATTCCATATATATGTGTTAGTATACGGTATTTGTCTTTCTCTTTCTTACTTCACTCTGTATGACATACTCTAGGTCTATCCACCTCATTACAAATAGCTCAATTTCGTTTCTTTTTATGGCTGAGCAATATTCCACTGTATGTATGTGCCACATCTTCTTTATCCATTCATCCGATGATGGGCACTTAGGTTGTTTCCATTTCCGGGCTATTGTAAATAGAGCTGCAATGAACATTTTGGTACATGACTCTTTCTGAATTCTGGTTTCCTCAGGGTATATGCCCAGTAGTGGGATTGCTGGGTCATATGGTAGTTCTATTTGTAGTTTTTTAAGGAACCTCCATACTGTTCTCCAGAGTGGCTGTACCAATTCACATTCCCACCAGGAGTGCAAGAGTGTTTCCTTTTCTCCACACCCTCTCCAGCATTATTTCTAGATTTTTTGATGATGGCCATTCTGACTGGTGTGAGATGATATCTCATTGTAGTTTTGATTTGCATTTCTCTAATGATTAATGATGTTGAGCATTCTTTCATGTGTTTGTTGGCAGTCTGTATATCTTCTTTGGAGAAATGTCTATTTAGGTCTTCTGCCCATTTTTGGATTGGGTTGTTTATTTTTTTGTTATTGAGCTGCATGAGCTGCCTGTAAATTTTAGAGATTAATCCTTTGTCAGTTGATTCATTTGCAAATATTTTCTCCCATTCTGAGGGCTGTCTTTTGGTCTTGTTTATGGTTTCCTTTGCTGTGCAAAAGCTTTGAAGTTTCATTAGGTCCCATTTGTTTATTTTTGTTTTTATCTCCATTACTCTAGGAGATGGGTCAAGAAGGATCTTGCTGTGATTTATGTCATAGAGTGTTCTGCCTATGTTTTCCTCTAAGAGTTTGATAGTTTCTGGCCTTACATTTAGGTCTTTAATCCATTTTGAGCTTATTTTTGTGTATGGTGTTAGGGAGTGATCTAATCTCATACTTTTACATGTACCTGTCCAGTTTTCACAGCACCACTTACTGAAGAGGCTGTCCTTTCTCCACTGTACATTCCTGCCTCCTTTATCATATGTGCGTGGGTTTATCTCTGGGCTTTCTATCCTGTTCCATTGATCTTTCTGTTTTTGTGCCAGTACCATACTGTCTTGATTACTGTAGCTTTGTAGTATAGTCTGAAGTCAGGGAGCCTGATTCCTCCAGCTCCGTTTTTTGTTCTCAAGATTGCTTTGGCTATTCGGGGTCTTTTGTGTTTCCATACAAATTGTGAAATTTTTTGTTCTAGTTCTGTGAAAAATGGTTGGCAATGTTTCTTAAAGTAGACTTATTAATTTCCCAAATCATTCCCATCCTTGAATATGAATGGAAACTGCATTCAAAATCTCTCAACATTCAAATAAACCATAAAACACAAAGAGCTAAAAAAAATTCTAATACTGTCATTTAAAATATAAATGTTGAGTTTTGCTCCGTTACTTATTCCTGGCCCAGCTGTAGCTTTCTATATTTCTCCAATGGCTTGTATATCTCACAGCTACATGCAGGAATCCTTTTTCTTACAAAGTAGAAAAATTTGTAATTTACTTTGTGTCAACTAGAAGTAGCATAAAATTTACAAAAAGAATATGTTCCTGACTCTGAAATTATCCTGAAAACTTATACTTTTCAGTATTCCAAATGGCCATCTAATTTTTCAACAGAATATACTCTGCATATATTAAACACAGTTCAAGTTTCAATCTCATCATGCCCATGTATTTTCCCCAGATTCCACCTGGTTACCGCAGACCCATGTGTAATGTGCCTTCATCAACAATGAGAGCTGTTCCCCTAGAGTATCGTTTTTCCTGGGGCACCCTCTCCAGCGTGCGGTGGTGAGGTCCTGGGGTGCCATGGTGATGAAAGCATCTTCCACCTTCATGTTCATGGTCCATCCAAACTATTTAGAAGCACTGCACCATATTTTGCAGAGGCATAAGTTTAATATCAAGGCTGCCAAGTGGGACTATTGGGAAGCTGCTCTCTTTCCAGCCCTTGTGTTGCATGGCTCTTTCCTCATCCCTCCAGGGCCTGTGGGATTAAGGATGGGGGCAGCTCTTGCTCTGGAGGTACAACTTGGGAAGATGTGTTCCTAGGCCTTCCCTTCCACAAGGAAGAGTAAAACTTGGGGATATATCTATATCCCCCTGAAGTCCAAAAGGAAAACGAAATTACATGGAATCCCCGTCACTGACGAATCCTGCTAAACACTCTGAGCAGCTATAACTGTTGGTATTTACAGATTACTCTGTGTGTGTGTGTGTGTGTGTGTGTGTGTGTATGTGTGTGTGTTCAACTATTCATGAATGACACCTACATTCTAGGACATGGTTACATTAGCTATCCTGAGCTGCACATCTGAATCTCATGCACAAAGACAGTAAACATGAGTTACTCTGTCGGTGAGCACAACTGGTTGTATAACTCAGCATCCTCTATATGCACTGATTTGTCCAGTGAAAAAAATGAAATTGAAACTAAAGGGAACTTCTAAGATCAATGAGAAAAGCGAAAAGCAATTAAAAAATACCTAGGATGGTGATAATATCTTAGAAATTTTATAAGAAGGTAATAAGTTTCTGAGAAAATAATTATGAACAACTACATCAACAAAAAAAAATGAAGTTTTAAAAGGGAAATCAAATGCTAGGGTGGTATTTCGGGGTTCCCAAAGAGCCTGGGCTTATCTTTGTTAAACGTCAAAGATCTACATATTAAGTGATATATTAATAGTTCATGGTGCTAATATTTGTAGTCCTTTATATATATTTATATTTGACTCATACCTATGGATTCCCTATACTAACCTGATTCACTTAAGAAGTCAGTTCATTCGTGGTGAAGAGTCTGCTGAATGCTGACAGAATACCCACTGGTCAAGAACACTCACTCTAAGCTAATATAATTTCCACAGGACCTGAAGAGATCTTTCTGGGACAAGGATCTTTGCCTCTTTAGTCCATAGTATCATTGACAAAAAAGAAAGGTAGAAGGGAACAGCAAGAAACAGAGGGAAATCGCTATCAAAGAGGTTTCTGGGTTGAAATGTCAAAATGACACCGGAGACCAGAAGTTGTCAGAAAAGACTGGAGTTGTGTACTGCTCCCCTCAAGACTCTAAACTTCCCATCCCTGTGGGCACAACACTGGTTCAAACGTGAAAACAGACAGGCTACATACACGTAGTTTGAACTGACTGGCATATTTCTAGCCTGTCTTCCATGGCATTTTGAATTTTAACATCTCCAGCCACTTTAAACCTGATTTTACACACACACACACACACACACACACACACACGTTTAAAAGTCTGACTTATAAGACAATTTAGCACAGTTAATATTACCTGATAGTCTGCCGCCCTTGACAGCTGCTGGTTTGCTTGCTGGACGTGCACCTCAGCATTTTCCACGTTGGCTTCTATGCTATCTTTAAAATAAAACATACACACAAAACGGGTGCTGATGCTCTAGTAACAGAGCTGTATCAATCACCAGATTTTATTCAAGGTAAGATTAAACATGTTCACTATTCAAAGGTTAATATTAATAGTGTGTGGGTAAGGCTGAATTTTTTTTTTTTTTTTAGTGATACTACTTCTCAGGTGATCCAAACAATACTGAAGAATTTGAAGGAAAGAAACTTGATTATCTTCATGATAGTGCCCTCCAGTTCTACCTGGTAACCCCCAAAAGTACCGTCACCAGTACCTGCATTCTGTGATGGCCAACTCAGCAGCAAGCAAGCACCTGAACTTTGGTTTAGGGTAAATATAGGGAACTGAAAACCGTCATCTGCTGGGTGGCCCTCATCAACCTCCTTCTGTGCTGAAACCTAGGCTCCCTGAGGGTCCCCAGAGCCTTCTCAAGTGGTGACATTTTCCTCCCCCTGCCTTCTCTGGCCTGGGGGTGGAACAGGTGTCAGTCTGTAGGATGGGTGACCACTGTTTCCTCCTCCTCCCTGCCGACTTTCAGTTTTAGAGCTAATGCTGTCCAACTCATTCAACCCTCCTTGCTGCAGATATCCACAGATGTCTCTTCTTCTCATTCCTTGAATATTTTAGCCCCTGAGTCACTGATGTTCTTTTCAATGCTTCTACTATCCCACATTTTGGTGATTTCAATATCCAATTGCTGCTCTATGAATAGGTGGCAATCAAAGAGTATGTAGCCAATAAACATTAAAAAAAAAAAAAATCCAATTGCTGAGCCTCTAATACCCAGGCCTCTCAATTGTTTCAATACATGTTTTTCAAAGACTTTGCCTGTGGCGCTTTCCGAGCCACCCACATCCATGGTCACACCCCAAACCTGTCATTACCAATGACTGCAGCTTCTCTATCGTCTCCGTTCCAGGTGTCACTCTCTGATTACCATCTGCTACCTTTAGAGTTCTCACCTTCTAAGACCCCAGCTTTAGTGATCCTACCACTTTTTCACTACCCCTCACATACTTCATGTCCTCACTTTCCTCTTCCCTAGCCTAGACTCCATATACACAATCATCTGTCACTGGTTTCTTGCATTTAACCTCAGCCCTCTTCCCTCCTACTATGGTCACAGTTAGGTGACAAAACCCCAACCTGTCCCATGCAGCTGAAAATGGGTGCAAAAAAGAATCGCCGTGATGACTTATTTCACTTTAAATTCTTGACTGCACAGCACGCCTGCCTCATCTCCCCAATTCCTGCAACACTAAGCCACACTTCCTCCTCTCTCCCCTAACTTCTCATGCCTCGTCACGCGTTGTCATTCTCCACCAGTGACGTTACTTCTAGATCACTGAGACAATAGGAACAACCAGAAGACACTTCCACAATCTCCTTTGACCCTACCCACCACCACATGCAACAGTCTCTGCGCTCGGACTCCTCTCCCGTGGTTAGGGAGGACCTGTCCACGCTCAGCGAGAGCCAGCCTCCCCAACCTCCCCATGCGTGTACTTTATCCCATTCTTTGTTGCCTAGCTCAAAGGCTTCAGGCCGGCAATTTCCTCCCTCTCACTATCAACACTTCTTTCCCATCAATCCTATTGCTGCCATCTTAAAAACACACAAACAACCCCCAAACCCCTCATTTATGCCACGCCCACTGGCAGCTATGACCTCACTTGACTCCTAGAAAGACTTGTCTCCACTTGCTATCTCCAGTCGCTCTCCTCCAAGCGTCTTCTGAGCCTGCTTCATCATGCTTCCACCTGCGCTATTTCACCAGCACAGCTCTCATCTGAGGTCACCTATGCCCTACACATTGTTAAATTCAGCAATCAATTCGAAAGCCTCAGTTTACCTAGGCAAATAGCAGCATTTGAGAGAGCTGACCTGCCGTCGCTCTTGAAACGCTTTCTCCCCCCCATTCTAAAACTATACATTCACGTGGTTTTCTTCTGTATCACTAGCTACTCTTTCTTGGTCAGTTTTGTTCATTCCTCCTCGGCTCTCTAGGCTCTAAATCAGGGATCAACAAACTTTTACTTTGTCTCAGATAATAAATACTTGAAGCTTTGCAGCTCATTCATATGGTTTCTGTCATAAATACTCAACTATGCCTCTGTTGTACAAAACCTGTTGTAGGTAACGCATAAACGAATGGATGTAGTTTGCCGACCACGCCCTAAATATTTACAAGTCCTCAGACACCCCTCTTCTCTATCTACACTTATCTCCTAAGAGATCTCACCTAATCTCGTGGCTTTAAATACCATCTATGTACAGATAACGCCCAGATTTATACCCCCAGGCCAGACGTCTCCCCTTTACCCCATCTTCTCTGTACCAATGCCTATCAAACCTTTACCCGGGTGACACCTGGCCCCTGAATCGTAACAGATCCAAAAATCACTGATTTATAGCCATCCAAACCAGCTCCAGTGACAGATTTCCACATCTCAGAAAACAGCACCGCCAAGATTTTTGTGAGCCAGGCCAAAACCTTACAGTCATCCTTGAATTTACTCTCTCACATCCATATCCGGATAGTCAGTAGATCTTTTTGGCTCTACATTTAAAAAATATCCAGAATCCCACTGCTTCTCACCACTTCACTGCTTCCGTACTGATCCAAGACAACACAGCTGCTCACGTGGATTCCTGCAATAGGCTTTTAAGTGTTTTGTTTTTGGTCTTGTCCTTTTGCAGTCTGCTCACCTAAGTGAAATGATAACGCTCCTCTGCTCAAATCCTGCTGTGGCTTCCCCTCCATTAATACAAAAACAGTCCTCACGATGGCTCAGGGGCCTATGTGATCTGGTCTCCTGTGACTTCTGACATCGTCTCCATCCTCCTCTTGCTCACTCCATTGGCCCAAGATGTCAGGCGTGCTTCTGCCTGAAGGCCTTTGCACCTGCGGTTCCCTCTGCCTGGAACACGTTCTCTTCTCTGCTCCCTTACTTCCGTGAAGTCTTCACTAAAATGTCACCTATCAGTGAGGCCTTACCTGACTCCCCCAGAAAAGCAGCACATTCCCCCCACCTCCTGCAGTCCTACCCCCGACCTGGCCTTATTTTCCCCGTAACACTTATCACCATCTACTTACTTTTCTTTCTGTTTTAATTGTCTCTCTCTTCCAGTTAGATTATAAGATCTTTTATCTGTTGTTTAATTTCAGCTGGATCCTCAAGGCCTAGATTTATGCCTGGATATAGTAGGCATTCAATAAATATTTATTGGATGAATGAATGGCTTTTGAAAATTTACCCTGTGATCTACTGGGGCTACAGAGGAGGGTAAGAATGGACAAATAATAATTATATTAAACTATAGGTCCAAGCATTTCAACTGAACCAAATTCAGAAAATGTATTAAATATATGCTTAGCATACCCACAGATATTTTCATATATCAAAATGATAAAGATGATCAGAATCCTGATCAATGTTGACAGCTACACCTTAAATGAATTACTTAAAGGAAAGTCTTAGTCACTGATTTTTTTTAAAGAATTTTTCAAAAAGAATTCTCAATATCTAAGTAATACAACTAAATTAATGTACTAAAAAAGCTATAAGAATTAATGTTCAGGTAAATGGCTTCTTATTCCCTCTACTTTAAAAGACAAGATAGTGTGCACAATTATGAACAGATGTTTTCCCCAAAGTCCTTGGTGTGATAAGAATTAAATTGGGATAAGACAGAAACCAGAGATCCTGGAAATAAGCTAGAATGATGTTAAATGTTACCTTCCATGATCTCAGCAGCAGTAGACCCTGATTAAATTTGGAACTTCTTAAATAAATGAAGCTGGTCATTTCCACCAGTAGGAGCCAAAAACGAGATCTGTTTTAGATAATGCCAAGCGTGATGCTTTGTCTATTACAGACACTATACTTTTGATTTCAGGAGGACTGAAAGAGAGAGAGGAAGGAGCTACCCTGGCTTGAGAAGTTACCACAGGTAAACTGCATGTAGCTTCCTTCTGCCTCTAATGAGTAGGGCTTACCTATTACATCTCCTTGCTCATGAATCATCATTCCCAAATCTTTAAATATTTCATTAATATCCATAATATCAGCCTAAGAGGAAAAAAATGCATATTATTGTAATCAGAAATTCAGTCCCCAATCCACAAAAGAAGAAAATTTTAAAAAACACAAACCACTGCTCATACCTAGGTAAGCATGCATCTGGACCTAATAACATATATTTGGGGAATATCAGAAAACTATTTTACTCTAGGCAATCCCAAGTAAGTAGACTCTGAATCTCAGTTCTCTAAAATAAGTCTGTGATGTTAAAAATATCAAGTGATTCAGAGTGGAAATGAAGGACTATACAATAGAGAAGGGTTGTGGGTTACTGAATTTATGTCATGCAATCTGATTGGTTTTGTTATCATGAACAGTATTTCCTCAAAAAAGTAAAAAATATTCTTATTGTATTTCTAGTAAAAATGTATATGTCAATTTGACACTTTAAAAGAATAAAACATTAGATGTAAATTCAAAGCCTCACATTAATAAATCTGAATATGCAATGGAAGAGTGATGGATAAATAAGTTATAGATTTAATTTTCTTCAATATATAACTATTATTTTGCTTGATTAGAAAGTCAAGTTTAAATACTTTATTCAGGAAAGGTGGGGCAATTTACATATTCATCCTGTGCCTTAGTTTCCCTATCTGTAGAAGGGCAATGATAATGACACAGTTAATTACTTCACAGAGCTTTTATGAGAACTAAATAAGACAATTAACATAAAGAATTGATCACATAGTGCTTGGTGCATGAAGCCCTCAATAAATGGTAGCTATTGTTAGCTAATATTAGCCCGCTTTCTAGGGAACAGGTAGGTTCCCTAAAAACTAAGGCTACTAAACCTTTTAGACCTCTCTGATATCCTACACACACTAAAGAGAAATGAAACACTTTTAAAGCCCTTGGAAAAAGTCTTATTCACGCAGGTGTGATGTGTATCATGTGCTGTGGAAGCTATCTAGACTCTCTGAACAGACCTTTATCTCTAGACTGATAATTTTCTCAATGCTCAGGTGGCTTGAGATGACTTAACAGAATTAAAAAAAAAAAAAAGGTTGGAGTAGAGGGAAGTATATTTTCTCATCCTTGCACAAATTCTAAAGAAATTACTTTTTTTTTTTAACAGAATGACTCTAATTTATATGAAATATGCCATCAAATTGATATATTTATTTAGTTTTCTTTCTTGACCTCTCTCCCAGCATCATCTAAGCATCCTGAGGACAAACTCACTAAGAACAGAGCAGCAATCCAATTCTGCAATGTAAAGCTTACTTCAAGTTGCCTAATAGAAGACTCTCTCTCCTGAATAAGGCGGAGGTCATCCTCTGTAATTTCTTCATCCTGCACCTGCACCTGAGGTTGAGTTTGGCTATTAAAAAGAAAAGAATACGTAAAAAAGAAAAATCGGTATGAAAACAATGAGGCTTCCTTTTTATTTAAGAAATATTTATTGAATAGAATATTTTTTCTTCAAAGTCATAGAACTGCTCACTTAAATTCAAAAAATGTAACAGAAATGTTAACCAAATTTTATTCATGCTTCATTTCAATGATGTTATGTTTAGAGTTATTTAATTATTGCAAACTATTATATTTGGCAAGTGAGTACTTCTTGGTTGATTTAAACTTCACATATGAGAATAATCTGTATCAAATAGTAATTAAGTCAATAATATTTATTTGTATAATTAAAGAGTATTATTGCTATACTGGAATATTTTTATATATTTTATAATAATGACTGAAAAATTTTCAAACTTATTGTTTTCTATTTATAAATAGATATAATTTATCTATAATTATGTCATGATATAATATACTGAAAGCTTTAATTCTGCCCAGGGATTGTGATGTAAAAAACGGATTTGAAAAATTATCTTTTGATCTGTATAATGTTTTATACTTCTTACCTTTCCCAGGACACGAGATTCCTTTCTTTTGAGCTCTCCTCAGGAAAACCACCCTGAATAATTTAGTAACAGAATGGATTGAGAAGATGCAAAGGAAAAACACACAACACTCACATTTTACTTTATAATAATCTAAACTGATTTATGTACACACTGGAGTGCAGGTGTAAGAAAAAAGAGAGAAAAGTTCTTGTTCTAGTATTTTAGGTCAATTATTTCAAGTAATAAAAAAAATTATATCCTAAGCTGACAAAGAAGGAATTCATTAAATATTCTCAAGGGCCAAATAACAAATATTATTTGATTAAAACATAATGTAGTCTTGGAACCTCTATATTAAGGAACAACGAAACAACCTGTGATAGTTTCTAGGGAGATTTAAAATTAGATTAAGTCAAGATTCCACTCTAACTTATCCTTTATTTTCTCCAGGTGTACATTCGTTTTAAATATTCATACAATATATTCACTGTTCATTTATATCATCTTCACATAATGCAAGATTAAAGTGCTCTCTACACTAGCACGAATACAAAGTAACAGCCTCAGGCTCAAGTTAGGATTTGACTCTAATCTTTTCTGACAAAACATTTCTATATTTTTACATAATCTTTTGTTCCACAACATTGACAGAATAACCACAATAATACATAATGATCATCCTTCTTAAAAACTGATTAGAAACACCTGAAAATAAGTATTCAAAAACCCATTTCCAAGATATTCACAGGTCTTTAGGACTCAAGAGACATGCCGTATAGCTCTTCACGGGGCCCTTGGAGGGTACCACGTTCTTTTTACAGTGCTGCTTTAAATACTTACAGACACTCTGGAACTGGCTCTTACTCGAGCGACAAACTCTTTCTCTCTCTCAGCAGCCTGTCTCTGCGCCTTCTGAAAGTTTGTCAGTGATGTGGTGAATTCCGCCACTAAGCGATCCTTCTGTATTTTCCTTTGACGCTAGAGAAAAGCGGGGGGAAAGAAACCTACCAGAATCAAGCTGTGAAGCTCTATAGAATTTGCAAAAGTTGTTTTGCCAGTAGCTGGCTCTTTATTTAATTCTGAAAATTTCACTCACTCTCCTATTACAGGGCCTTACTGATGAACTCAATAACATTTTGAACAATTTGACAGTATGTTCAAATACTGTGCTTATTTTACCTTGAGGCAAAAGGCCCATAATGTTGGATTTCTCACCTCAAGTTCTCATCCTAAAAACTGGACCATGATTTTACGTTAAAGTATTTTTTTAAAAAATGAAAATAAAACCTTTGACTCACCTAATAACTTCCACTAAGTAATAAGCAGGGTAATAAATACATGTGCCCCTAGGAAACCTCACATCTTGAATGAGCGTGCATGTTATATGAAGTCAGTCCTGGAAGGCCAGGAAACAATTACTCAGGAAGCATTTTCTGAGCACTTACTTAATTATGGATCAGGGCAAGTGCATGGAAATAATTTTTGCTTTACTGAACCAAAGGATACTACCTGGGCAATTAAATATAGTCTTGTGTTCTGTGAACTAATCTCAAATTGATTTTTTTCCCCCTAATTTCCTTCTTAGCACAACAGTTCAAAGATCCTACAATACATTTGATTTCTTTCACATTCAATACATCAACAGTGTGTCTTAAAGCTTCATACCTGGTCACTGGGGGTGGTGGGTAGAGATCCAAACTCTTTAATGTACTTATCTGTTTCTTTGGCAAGTTGGTTCGTATATTGCTGCTTCTGTTGCCTAAAATGAGAAAACACGCATTATAGCGAAAGAACTAACACATTTGTTTAAGCTACAACTCTGCCACTTGATTCAACCCTGATGAATAGTTTTAGAAAAATCACTATTTTATAGACTGGCTCCAAATTTTCTCTATGAAAACAAAATTTTCAGGTTCTATTCTTTGATAAATATTGAACAAATACTATGGGGAAGGTTCTTTACTCACACATGGAGTAACCAAGCTCTGGGAAATAAATCAGCAGCCATTTAGAAAGGAAGATGACAAAAGCCAACACGAGATTGTAAGGTGTCTGATGTTTGAGATTTGGTGGCTGTGGGAGCCTTTTATGTGCATCCCACAATTGGGAGGTCAGTTGAATAAGTAAAGAAGATTTGTTGTCTTAAACTCTGCCCAGTTCCCAGGTCTCGGGGTACAGCCAGCCTCTCATATTTCTCTACCCGAACATTTATATCCTATACTTAAAAAAAAAAAAAAAAAAAA